TGAAGAAATACTTCCTAACGTCCCTGTGACTCGTCTGAGTTTTTAGCTTCCAGTTGTGACCCCTTGTTTCTGTGTCCCCTCTCTGGAACATCCTACCTCTGTTCACCTTGTCTATTCCCCGCAGTATCTTGTATGTCGTTATCATGTCTTCCCTGACCCTTCTGTCCTCCAGTGTCGTCAGTCCGATTTCCCTCAACATTTCCTAGTACGACATTCGCCTGAGCTCTGGAACTAGCCTTGTTGCAAACCTTTGTACTTTCTCTAACTTCTTGACGTGCTTGACCAGTGTTGGGTTCCAGACTGGTGCTGCATACCCCCAGTATGGGCCTAACATACACAGTGTACAGTGTCTTGAACGATTCCTTATTAAGGTATCGGAACGCTATTCCAGGTTTGCCAGGCGCCTGTATGCTGCAGCAGTTATTTGGTTGATGTGTGCCTCCGGTGACGTGCTCGGTGTTATGGTCACCCCAAGGTCTTTCTCCCTGAGTGAGGTCTGTAGTCTTTGTCCACCTACCTATACTCGGGCTGCAGTCTTCTTTGCCCTCCCCAATCTTCATGACTTTGCCCAAATTGGCAAAGGTTTTGAATTCGAGAAGCCAGTTTCTGACCAATGTTCAACCTGTCCAGGTCTCTTTTCAGTCCTGCCTCATCCCCATCCGATTTAATTCTTCTCATCAGCTTCACATCATCTGCGAATAGGGACACTCAGAGTCTATTCCTTCCATCATGTCGTTCGCATATATCAAAAAAAGCACTGGTCCTAGAATGACCCCCGTGGGACCCCGCTCGTCACAGGGCCCACTGTGATAACCTCTTTTACGTATCATGACTCGTTGTTGCCTCCCTGTCAGGTATTCCCTGATCCATTGCATGCCCTCCCTGTTATATGCCCTGATCCTCCAGCTTCTGCACTAATCTCTTGTGGGGACTGTGTCAAAGCCTTCATGCAGTCTAGGAAAACGCAAATCAACCCACCCCTCTCTCTCGTGTCTTACTTCTGTTACCTTGTTTATAAAACTCCAGAAGGTTTGAGTGACACAGAATTTGCCTTCCATGAAAACCCCTGCTGGTTTTCATTTATAATCTTGTTCCATTCCAGGGGTTTCCACCACTCTCCTCCTGATAATCTTTTCCATGGCTTTGCACACAATACATGTCAGAGAACAGGTCTGTAGTTTAGTGCCTCATTTCTGTTTCCTTTCTTAAATATGGGGACTACATTTGCTGTCTTTCATTTCTCAGGTAGTTGCCCAGTTTCAAGGGATGTGTTGAGGATTGTGGTTAGGGGCACGCACAGCATCTCTGCTCCTTCTCTAAGGACCCATGGGGAGATGTTGTCCGGTCCCATCGCCTTTGAGGTATCAAGGTCACTTAGCAGCTTCTGCACCTCCTCCTCGGTTATTCGTATGTCATCCAACACTTGTTAGTATATTCCCTCTTGATGTTCCCTTCTGTGCTGTCTTCCCAGAGCCCTTCCTGTCACTACTGTAAAAACTTCCTTAAATCTCCTGTTTAGCTCCACACATACCTTCTGATCATTTCTTGTGAGTTCTCCACCTCCTGTCCTCAGTCTGATCACCTGGTCTTTGACTGTTGTCTTCCTTCTGATGTGGCTATACAACAGTTTCGGGTCAGTCTTGATTTTCGATGCTATGTTATTTTCATACTGTCGCTGGGCCTCCCTCCTTACCTGTGCATACTCGTTCCTGGCTCTGCAACTGATCTCCCTATTTTCATGTGTTCTCTGCCTTCTGTACTTTTTCCATTCTCTATTGCACTTTGTTTTTGCCTCCTTACACCGTCGGGTAAACCAGGGGCTCGTTCTGGTCTTCCCATTGTTTCTGTTGCCCTTGGGAATAAACCTTTCCACTGCCTCCTTGCATTTTGTTGTTACATATTCCATCATTTCATTTACTGGCTTTCCTGCCAGTTCTCTGTCCCACGGGACCTCCTGCAGGAAGTTCCTCAACCCTACATATCCCCTCTTTTATAGTCAGGCTTTTCCCATTCAACTCCTGTTACTCTGTCCACTTGCAACTCTACTATGTATTCAAAGCACAGAACCACGTGGTCACTAGCTCCTAGGGGACTCTCATATGTGATGTCCTCAATGTCTGAACTGCCCAGGGTGAACACAAGGTCCAGTCTTGCTGGTTCATTCTCCCCTCTCACTCTGGTAATGTCCTTAACATGCTGGTGCATGAGGTTTTCCAGCACCACATCCAACATCTTGGCTCTCCATGTTTCGGGACCCCCATGTGGCTCCAGGTTTTCCCAGTCAATCTCCCTTTGATTGAAATCCCCCATAACCAGAAACTTTGCTCTGCTGGAGTGAGCTCTTCTTGCCACCTCAGCATGTGTGTCCACCATTGCTCTGTTGTTCTCTTCATATTCCTCTCTTGGCCTCCTGCAGTTCTGTGGTGGATTATACATCACTGCAATGACCACCTTGTGCTCCCCAGACTGAAGTGTACCTACTATGTAGTCCCTTTCTCCTGTCTCGTCTATGCCTCCCATTTTCTCGAATTTCCATCGGTTGTTTACGAGCAGAGCAACCCCTCCTCCCCCTCTGCCCCTTCTATCTTTCCTCATGATCTGGCATCCGGGTGGGAAGATTGCATCTATTACTGTCTCTGTGAGTTTTGTTTCTGTAACTGCTATGATGTCTGAGGACTTCTCATTGATCCTTTCTTGCCATTCCTCATATTTATTCGTTAATCCATCTGCATTTGTGTACCAAACCTTCAACTTCTGTTCTAATACTGTAACTGTGGTCCTGGGGGAATACTGGGGTTGGGAGAGCAGGAGCCTTGGTGGGGGCCTGTCGGGGGTTGCAGTGGAGGTAGAGGAAGAGCTCCCATAGGGGGTTGCTGTAGGGGTAGGGTTCGTGGTGCGGGTGGTGGGAACAGAGGGATCGTGTGTGATGGTTGGTTTGGATTGTTCAGTTGCCTTGGGGGTGTCGTGGCTGGAGTCCTTCTGCAGGTGTTTCTGGGGGGGTGTGCTTGTCCTTCCTCCTGTTCCTGGGTTATTCTGCTCTCCTTTTTCATTTCCTCCCATTCCTCCTTTCGCTTTTGCACTCTCTCTTTCAGTATCATCCTTTCCTCCTGTATTCTGTCTCGATCGAGGTACACACTCCGGAACTCCTGCTTGCCTCTCAGCCGTGCTTTCTCCTGCAGGATCATGGTTCGGGTTGATTCTGCCTTGAAAATTACTTTGAGAGGCCGATTCCTTTTCTTTGTGAACCACCCGATTCTCCGAAAATTTGCCACCTGGGTCATGTGTGTTTGTGTGTGTGTGTGTGTATATATGTGTGTGTGTGTGTGTGTACTCACCTATTTGTACTCACCTATTTGTGGTTGCAGGGGTCGAGTCATAGCTCCTGGCCCCGCCTCTTCGCTGATTGCTACTAGGCCCTCTCTCTCCCTGCCCCATGAGCTTTATCATACCTCGCCTTAAAACTATGTATGGTTCCCGTCTCCACTACGTCACTTTCTAGGCTATTCCACGGCCTGACTATTCTATGATGGAAGAAATACTTCCTAACATTCCTTTGATTCATCTGAGTCTTCAACTTCTAATTGTGACCTCTTGTGTCTGTGTCCCATCTCTGGAACATCCCTTCTTTGTCCACCTTGTCTATTCCGCGCAGTATTTTATATGTCGTTATCATGTCTCCCCTGACCCTCCTGTCCTCCAGTGTCGTCAGGCCGATTTCCCTCAATCTTTCTTCGTAGGACAATCCCCGTAGCTCTGGGACTAGTATTGCTGCAAACCTTTGCACTTTCTCTAATTTCTTGACGTGCTTGACTAGGTGTGGATTCCAAACTGGTGCTGCATACTCCAGTATGGGCCTGACGTAAATGGTATACAGAGTCTTAAACGAATCCTTACTGAGGTATCGGAACGCTATCCGTAGGTTTGCCAGGCGCCCGTATGCTGCAGCAGTTATCTGATTGATGTGCGCCTCAGGAGATATGCTCGGTGTTATACTCACCCCCAGATCTTTTTCCTTGAGTGTGTATGTGTGTATGTGTGTGTGTGTATGTGTGTGTGTGTGTGTGTGTGTGTGTGTGTGTGTGTGTGTGTGTGTGTGTGTGTGTGTGTGTGTGTGTGTGTGTGTGTGTGTGTGTATTCTGCAAGTTCTCAAGAACGTCCCCGCACTTTTTTCAGTGTCATTCTCCGAAATTATAAGCACATGTTAACACATTATTTTTTGTTACAATAGTTTACCCTCGCTGGCGAAGCGTCCAAGACTTCAGACATCTCCCTACACCCTTCCTCTCCCCTCTATCCTTCCCCTCTTCTGCCCTATCCTGCCTTTCCCTGCCTTTCTCCACCACTTTTTCCTCTTCCCTTCCACCTCCCTACCCAAATCCTCTCTACTTTTCCTCCACCCATCTCTACTTTCACTCCTCATTCCTACCCTAGGTCCCTCTAACGTCCCCTCTCCACCCCTCCTTATAATCTTTTCCCCTCACCCATCCCCATTTCCCTCTCCCCCTCCCCATCCATCACCACTAATCTCCCCCCCCTTCTTGCTACAATCTTCACTCACTAATTCATTATTCATCAATACACCATCATACACTGGACTGATATCACTGTATTATAAATTCTTTCACCTTTTCTGTATTGTATTATTGTATCTCACTTTATTCTCTCCTTTTGTTTCGTTCAGAATTTATTCTCATTTTTCTCATCTCTGTGAACGTTGTTGTGTTCAATATTTATTAATGTACTGGAATAAATTTTAATTAGATTCTGTCCCTGTTGTATAAATTTATTATATTTATTAATTTTGTATTTTCATTTTATTATTTGATCTTTCTTAATGACGAAAAAACATATTTTCACAAAATATTTTTTTCGTGAATATGTTGTAAATAATTACTGAAAGATTATATTAATGTTTGATGTTGCATCCCAGGAAGAACAAGATTCGTCGAGATCAGTCTGATAACTGATTTTATCATCGCATAGTTATTATTTTTTCACAGGACGAACAACAGTGGTCAAGTTCAGCTTGCTGATCCGCAGTATGGGTCCTATATCTGAGAAGGACATGGTGAGTACTTGTCCCGACGCATGTCTTAACATGTCTTAATGTACCACACCAGGGATTGCATTCTAGCTATGTCCCATTGTGGTGTAAATGTGTATGTGTTTTGTGTGTTGTGTGTGTGTGTGTGTGTGTGTGTGTGTGTGTGTGTGTGTGTGTGTACTCACTATATGTGGTTGCAGGGGTCGATTCATAGCTCCTGGCCCCGCCTCTTCACTGGTCGATACTAATTCACTCTCTCCCTGCTCCATGATATTTGTCATACCTCTTCTTAAAGCTATTTATGGAACTTGCTTCCACTGCTTCACTCTCCAGATTATTCCAGTTCCTGACAACTCTAAGACTAAAGAAATACTTCCTAACATCCATATGACTCATCTGGGTTTTCACTTTCCAATTGTGTCCCCATGTTTCTGTATCCCATCTCCGAAACATTCGATCCTTGTCCACCTTGTCAATGCCTATTAGTATTTTATACGTTGTTATCATGTCCCCTCTATCCCTCCTATCCTCTAGTTTCATCAGGTTGAGTTCCCTTAACCTCTCCTCACAAGACATACCCCTCAGTTCCGGGACTACTCGTGTTGCAAATTTTTGCACTTTCTCCAATTTCGTGACGTGTTTGACTAGGTGAGGGTTCCATACTGGCGCTGCATATTCCAGCATGGGCCTTACGTACACTGTGTACAATGTCGTGAATGACTCCTTACTCAGATGTCTAAACGCCAACCTCAGGTTTGCCAATCTCCCATATGCTGCAGCAGTTATTTGATTGATGTGTGCCTCAGGGGACATGTTCGTTATAATGCTTACCCCAAGATCCTTTTCTTTAACTGACGTTTGCAGCTGTTGGTTTCCTAACCTGTACTCCGTCTGCGGTCTTCTGTGTCCTTCCCCAATCTTCATGACCTTACATTTACTGGGGTTAAACTCCCGGAGCCATTTGTCGGACCATACTTGTAGTTTGTCCAGATCCCCTTGTAATCTTAACTGATCCTCGCCCACTTGTATTCTCCTCATCAGTTTCACATCATCAGCGAGCAGTGACACTTCTGAATCTATTCCTTCCACCATGTCATTCACGTATACAAGAAACAGCACCGGACCTAGGACTGAACCTTGTGGAACCCCATTCGACACATTCGCCCACTCCGACACTTCAGTACGTACCAACACACGTTGTTTCCTTCCTGTCAGGTATTCCCTGATCCAATGCAGTATTTTCCCCGTTATTCCTGCCTGCTCCTCTAATTTTTGCACCAGTCTGTTGTGTGGTACTGTGTCAAAAGCCTTCTTGCAATCTAAAAAGATGCAACCTACCCATCCCTCTCTCTCCTGTCTTACTTCTGTTACCTTATCTTTAGAACTCAAGTAAATTTGTGACACAGGATTTCCCATCTCTGAAGCCATGCTGACTGTCATGTATGAGCCCAATCTTTACAATGTGTTCCACTACTTTTCTCCTGATAATATTTTCCATGACTTTACATACTATACAAGCCAGTGACACTGGTCTGTAGTTTAATGCTTCCTGTCTGTCCTCTTTCTTAAAAATTGGAACTACATGTACTGTCTTCCACGCCTCAGGCAACTGCCCTGTTTCGATAGATTTACTGAAGATTGCTGCTAATGGCACACACAGATCCTCTGCTCCCTCTCTCAGTATCCATGGAGATATGTTATCTGGGCCCACCGCCTTTGAGGTATCGAGTTCGTCTATCAGTTTCTTCACCTCTACCTTGGTTATGTGTATTGTGTCCAGCACCTGCTGGTGCACTCTTCCTCCACAGTTTGCTAGAAGCATTCCTGACTCTATTGTGAATACTTCTCTAAATCTTTTGTTTAGTTCATCACATACTTCTTGGTCACTCTTCGTCAGCTCCCTCCTTTTTTCCCTCAGCTGATTACCTGGTCCTTGACTGTTGTTTTTCTCCTAATGTGACTGTATAACAACTTTGGTTCAGATTTGGTTTTTGATGCTATGTCGTTCTCATATTGCCTCTGAGCCTCTCTCCTTATCCTTGCATATTCGTTTCTGGTTCTTCTGTTCAGCTCCTTGTTTTCTTGAGTCTTTTGCCTTCTGTACCTTTTCCATGCTCTGGCACACTTGGCTTTGGCCTCTTTACACCTCCAATTAAACCATGGGCTCACTCTGGTCTTACCATTTTTTCTGTTGCCCTTTGGTATGAACCTTTCCTCTGCCTCCCTGCAATTAGTGGTTACTATTTCCATCATTTCATTTACTGTCTTTCCATCTAGTTCTCTTTCCCACTGCACTTCATGCAGGAAACTTCTCATTCCTATGTAGTCCCCTTTTTTGAAGTTTGGTTTCTCTCTTTGTTCTCGTGCTGCTGCATTCTCCACTTTTAACTCGACAAGATATTCAAAACTCAGGACATTATGATCACTAGCGCCAAGGGGTCTTTCGTGGGTGATAT